GTTCAGCTTGTGTTCAGCTGTACACCACGGTTTGAATGCGCAGGAGCTCATGCAGGCCAGCACCCAGCCCAGGAATGTTCTGGGGGACTGCAAGGTCAGATCTGAAGCACTTGAAATTACTAAGGAGACTTCTCAGATTTGGCTTTGTCTTTTCCAAGTGGGGTGTTCTGGGGACTGTACATCCAAGAAATCTACAGTGTTTTGCAAGGACGTCAAATTTGACTTTTTTTTTTTAATGGCCAAAAATATGTCTACCTATTTGGAGAGCCTGAGGTTGCTCATAATGCCATTTTGGTTTTATGTTTTTCGTCTGTAAGTTGGAACCTGGAAAACTTGCAAATAGCATCTTCAACAAACAGAATAAGATCAGAGTTCTTGAGGGTCGTTCAGGGAGACAGGGCTGCAAGTTAAGCGTGCAGGGTCTATGACTCTAACCATGGTCCTGCCTAGCTCAGTACAGTGGGAAGTGGCAGTGTCAGGGGGTAGTTCTTCAGTTGCTTGCTCAAGAGTGTAAAGAATTTGGTGAGGGGATGGGACTGTGTGTGATGTAGTGAGAAAGATGCTTTGTCTCTTCTTTCACTGGAATGAAAATTCCAAATCAAATTGAAAGCTGTTAGAATTTCTCTTGGGATCCTTCAGTGCATGGTGCCTTGTGCTGTAGCTGCTACTTATTCAGGCAGCCATCCCATGGAAGACTAAGTGGTTTTCTCAAAACATTCAGATTGAAGATTGCCTTGAAGCTATAAGCTTCATTCATGCTATAAAAATGTCAACATTTTCTCGCAAGCAAATCATCTCACAGTAGCTGTATTTCTTTCCAGGACAACTCACCAGACACAGTAGCAAGGGTGTAGTCCAAAAGAAGAATTGTGTACAGGGCCAAGCTTCCGAATAAAAGACCCAAAGCATATTTTCAAGAAGCATCTGAGAGATGAAAGGGCTCAACAGCTCCTGATTCTACTCTTCTGACAATGTTTCTGCCTCCTGCACAGTGCGCAGGAGGTGAAATCTTGAGAACCTACTGGGCAGTGTTTTGTGTAGGTGGACATACTCCAAGGTCTGCAGTGGGCCACAGGGTTTGATACACACTTGACAGCTTGATTGATGAAAACATACAAATGCCAGGCAAAGTAACACTCAGCAGGGCAGTTTTAGACTACTTTTCCCCTGTCTCCATCCCACCATCTCTCATGTCTCCTTGATCTAATCTCCTTGGGAATCTTACTAGGGAGAGAACTCTGACGGTGACGAGAGCATTTCCTGTAGCACTGCCAAACAGCTTTGCTGCCTGAGTTGCACCATGAGCTGCTGCTGTGCTGCCTTCCATCTTGGGATGGGCTTTAGTTATGTCCTGTTGTATTTGCTGTTTGTTTTTTCCTCCAACAAACCATCTGTAATTTATAGCATTTGGAATTAACTGTTACGCTCCCCTCTGTTGCTTAAATCCCTTAAGCAGCACCTTTTTAGGGGGCTAGAAAAAATAGATTTGAAATCCAAAGGGGTTTTAAATCTTTGCCTTAAAGCCAACTCTGAAACATCATCACAGGAACAGTATTCCATTTTACGTGGAAATATTATTCACAATATTCTCAACAGTCACATTTCATTTCAAAGCAAAGCCAGAGGTTATGATGCTGCTAGGCAGGTTCCTTCTGCTGGGGTTATCCAGCACTTCACCCTTAAATAACAGGTTGCAAATTGCTGTGAACTGTTGCTGTAGCCTGCAGAAGCTGTCAGTGCCTTGTCTGAACTGCAGCAGCAGTGGCTGTGAGGTTGCATGCGGCCCTCCCACTTCCTTATGCCAAGAGGCTTCCTTGAGCCTTGAAAACAATGAGAATTGGAAAGTTTACTGAAGGCTGTGGCTGTATTTCTTCCTTTTCTTAGGTTGCTTAAGATGAGAATGTCTCTTAGGAAAAAAATGCCAGGACAAGCAATCCTCAGGGCTAGGGCTGGGAGGAAGAATAAGCTCGGATTCATCCCAGCACTGGTGATGACCTGACAGCAAAGAACAGAAAATTATCCGTTCCTCTGTCAGTGCTAGTTTTTAGTGTGAGAATTGAGGCAAGGTTTAGAACTGTTATGTGCATAGGTTTGTGTAGTGTGTAGTCTCTGGAGAAAGCAATGACTTGGTTCCTTTCCCTCCTTTTCCCTTCACTGCCGTAATCCCTACAAAAGGTTTCAAGAAGTCAGGCAGAATTGCAGCAGGTGTTCTGTAGTTCTCTGGGGTAGAACAGAGCACTGCAGGTGAGACTGTTGGGAGATACGCATTTTATTTGAAGATTTTTCTTTCAGGAACAAATGCCATGGCTTAATACACTTCTTCACAAGTGTGCAGCAAGTGCAGGCAGATGAAGTGACAATGCTGTACTTAGTTCCTGGAGGAGGTACATATGTACCTGCCTGGGAGTCAGGTCCTTCTGGGCAAGCACGGCTCTTCACTTCAAAGTAAATTATGTAGGGCCTGGATGAGCCTGTATTGCTGCAGACTCCCAGCTCCCCTGTTAAGTCAGGCTGTGTTTGCTGCTGTAGCTGTGCTGGTATTTGGGAGTGTGTTAGCTGTGTGTGGGGGGAAGTTGTCCTGCATTTGCAAAATTCAGTAGGTGGCTGAGCGCACAGAGGATAGAGGATGTTCTTGTAAACGCTGTGGTAAACATACGGTAGACATAGAGGAGCTAATAGAAAGCAGTCCTGTTTTCAGCTTAACCTCTCACATTGTGCAGCTCTGGTTGGAGAAGAAAAATATTTGCTTTTCTCCTGCAGCATAAGGAGCAGCATGGGCTGAGGAGCCCAGCAGTTCTGATGTCTGCAAACATAGCACTGGGGAGAGGTGGGCAGGAGGACTGACATCTAACAGACTGACAGACAAGAGTGGAAGCATGCGGGATGTCAACAGTGCCCACAGGGCTGTGCCAGCAGGGCTCATTGCAGCTCCAGGGAGTGCAGCCCCTCACTGCTGTCCCACTATCTACCCCCAAAGTCTTCCTTCCTTGCTTTTTTTCATCAATGGGCATTTTGATTTAAAGCAAAGCTGAACTGCACGCCGTTGTCTCAGCCCTAGTGTCCGTGCTGCCGAGGTCCCAGCAGGATTGCTGGGCAGCTCCCAGCAGCGAGCAGGCAGGCCGAGCAGCTCAGGCAGAGTGGGGCGTCTGCATCCTGAGCTGGGAGGCGAGGTGACAGCTCACACTATCGGTGTGCACAGCCCCGTGTGCAGACAGCCTGCTGTTTAAAGTGCTTCAGTGCTGGCTGGCATGCCTGCTAGCGAGGGCTCTAATGAGGTGATCATTCACTGCAGAGCATGCGGGGCTGCTTGATAGCTGCTGCTGCAACTGCCTAGGCAAAGCTGTCTTCCTTAAGTTCTTTCATTTGTTTTTTTTCTTATACTGTAATAATTTGAAAACATTTGGTTAAAAACTGCAGTTGCAGATGTGTTGTACTGCTGTTCTCATAATCAGAAGTTACTCTGAAAACGTGTCTTGCCTTAGCTGTGTGATCAAGTGTTGCTGTTACACAAAGAAACAGCAACTGTTTGCTGTACTGCACAGGGCCTGTGTTTTGTAATCATTTATTGTCACATAGGTCTTCTTTAATTCTGTAAGAATTAATGACATTCTTTTTTTTATGTGAAGCTGGCAATATAAACTGTAATAAAGTCTGTACTGAGCAAAGCGCTGCTGTGTGGTGTGATGTGCTCTGCCCTCCCAGAAGGGCCCAACGCCTTGTCCTCATGGCGGCTGTCTGCCTGCTGCTCTCCAGTGGTTGATTTGCTGTGGGGCACGTGGGAGGCCCTGGCATGGTGTCGGTTCGACAGCCCTATGAATCATTGCCTAGTGAGGCTGGTGTGGGTCTTACAGCTGTGTTGTGGCTCACCTGGGTTTACTTTGACCACCCCTAAAGGCACTGAAGGTGGAAAGAGCACGCAGACAGACTTGTTAGCAGCCCGTTCCTGTGTGAGCTTCAAGAGGAGTCTTGATAAGTCTGGCAATGAACAAGAGGGTTGTGGCTGAGCCATTGCGCTCCTCTGCAGTGTGTCTGCTGGGTGTGCTGGACAGAGGCCTCCCATGCCAGCCTCCATGAGGTTCCTTAGGGCAAGGAGCTGTTCTCATGGTCATCTCTACAGCTAGGATGTGTGTGACAAACCGGCATGGCTGCACAAACCTCAGCAGCTCTATACCCCAGACTTGATGGAGCAGAAGCACAGAGCGGGGCCCTGCCTTGCTGCATGCGCAGGAGAGCATTTCAGGTGAGTCCCAAACTGCCCTTTCCATTTTGGAGCACAGGCCATGCTAGTCTGCAGCTGCAAGAAAAAGCTTTCTTACATTTTGGTGCTGCTAAATCTTTAATAGCATTGCAAATACCAGTGAAGCAGAAACCTCTAAGAGCTGGGCTGCTCCATGCAGGCTGCTGGTGCGGCTGTGAGCCATGGCGGTGGGTGCCCAAGCCCTGTGCACCTCCTACCCTGCAGCCTCCCACAGCAAGCAGGGGCTTCCTGCCCTACTCATTGCTGCTGCTGCCCATGCTGCCAGCAGCCATTCCCAAAGAGGGGCATTCACCTGCCCCTAAAGAGGAAGGTGAGACCCAGAAACAACAAGCACACTGCTGCTGTACCTATGGAAAACAAAGGGCATGGCAGCAGATGGGAGGCTTACAGCATCTGGGCTGGATGACTGCGGCCCTGTGCCACAGTCGTGCTCTCAGAGGTGGCATGGGATAGGACTGCTGCTGGGCTTTCCCACGTGATTTTTATCAGCATAGTTTTCACAGTTCCAGCACAGATGTGAGAATCAACAGCTTAATTAATTTCCAACAGCTTAATTAATTTTCTTCCTTGATGCCAAACAGTTGGGGTAATACTGGGTGGTGATGAAATTGTTCCTCTCATATATTTTTGGTGCCAGGGCAAACAGCTGGCAGTGTTTGGTAGTTCTGGTGTGGCTCTGTGTATTGTAGCTGCTGATTTACAACTCTTCTCCTAAATAATTCAGTCCTATCCTGCCAAAAAACAGAGGAAGAACTCCTAGACCAGCTGCAGGGGAGACCAGTAAGAGGTTTGCCTCTCCCGTGGGGCTGTGGCACTGCCCCAGGACAGCAGCTAGGCACCAAACAGTGTGTGCCAGGAAGTAATACAAGAAGAAGAGCGCCATGAGAACTGATCTCTGCTTCAACAGTCTGTGGAGAGAGGAAAAAGGGAGTTCAGACTCATTCCCTGCATGCAATCACAAGGAAGGGCATCTTTTTGCCATTCCCACACAGAACCCAGATGGCAGGTTGCGCCACAGATGGTTATGGATTCTCTAGAAGATCATGTTCCATGTCTTCCACTGTTTGCTATGATGTATGCTGGGTAACTTGTGGCTCCTCTCCTGACACTTGTGATCACCAGCAGCTGTGAGAAATGGGACCATGAGTGGGGGCTTCCCTTGGGGCACTGGGATTGGCTCCCTCCTGCCTCACTCGTTATGTACCTCAGCTGTGGAGGTAGGCTCTCCTTTCTCACCTGGGGATGTGATGGGTAACTGAATGTGGGGGAGGTGATATATGGGCAACAGTGGAGTGAGAAAGGATGTTTGATTCTTGTCTAGGCTGAGAGGATCTGATAAGAAGATTGTGTGATGGCTGGAGGGCTGTATGAACAAGCACAAACCCATTGGAGGATGCCTTGTTACCAGGTATGTTGTACTGAAGGCTTGAAGGTGTCAGGCAGTTGGGGTGTGGGCTGTGCTTGGTCACCAGTTCTGCAGCTCCATACCCAGCATGAGCAGGTGCTTTGGAACCAAGTGTTGTGGGGCACGTTGAGGGAAGGTCGATGTATTTATGTGTATTCAAGTAGTGTCAAGCCATGACTCCCTCTACAAAGTGGCAATTTGTAAATAATTACTATACGTTGGTTTCTGGGGTACCAGTTGTTTCCGGAGGTTATTCTAAGTGAAATGCAATGTCAGTGGTACTCTCCTGTGGTATCCTTTTCTGGATGTTGGTATGACAGTGACAAAGCTGCTGTCCAAAGAACTAAACAGCACTACTTTAGCTTTTTTAGATTGCTGCTCTGTGTGTGGTGCAACAATGCTGCTGAGGCTGTCTCGAGTCTCTTGATTTACTACTGGCTTTGCGTTTCTTAATGGAAATGAAGCGTTTGTGGTATTGGCTATGTAAAGACGGGATCACATTTTAGTATTATAATGTAAATAACATCTATTTAAATTCAGAATCACTGATCTGAAAGTGTAACAGAGTCCTACGGCAGCACTGTGGTTTTCCCTCCATGGATCCAAACCAAGAGAGGCCCTGCTCCCGTCAGTCGCAATGCAGTTGACATGCTGTGTGCTGCCTCTAACCTAAGGGAGGTCTGCAGATTTACAAGGAGTGTTTATTTTCAAGTTAAGTGGGCGGGTTATCAGAACTGAGTTATACATATGAATGCCTACCACCAGCTTCTTCTTGCCCAAGGAAGCACGTTTCCAGTGAGCCTCATTTCCTGTGGTTTGACAGATTACACTGTAGGATGACCAGTTTGACCAGTTTTCCACACTGGATCTTTGCCTTTTTTTGGAAACGTGTAAAATAGTGCATGAATGTGTGCCACGTGTAGTGCTTACTGAACCAGATACACTTTGCAGCACCATCATCTCTTCTAAGCTAGCAAATAAGGAAAGCATGTACAGCTTTTTGGGTTCTGCCACTCTTTCCTGATAATTCTTTTGTAAATATTTGAATGCTTGATGTTGTAATGACTCTTACAGCTGCTACCAACAAAAACCGTATGAGCTTTTATTGTAACATGCAGTATCCCTCTGAGCACAGGGCAGTGATACCGGCTGGCAGAAGGCCATGTCCCTCCTCCTGCACACATCCTGCTCAGCAGGCATGGTACACATAGCAGAAACAGGATAAAGTGTTTGTCTGGATAAACTAAGTGGCCAAAACCTCCTGAGTGATGGCCAAGGGCAGCAGTGAGCAGGATTATATTGCTAGTTCAGCCTGTTGTGTTCAGCTGTCAGCTAGTGACCTGTTTTAGAAGACAAACGCTTACAGTTAACTTCCAGTAAATAATTGTTGTCATCCCCTAAAGTAAATACAGCTATGTTGAAAACTTCAGCATTGTCAGGCCTTGATGCTGAGGGACTAATGAGAACAACCAGAGCAGCATGTTTCATAAGCTGCTGGGCAGCGTAAGAATTACACAAGTAAACAGATGACCTGGCATGAACTGTTTCCTGAGAGAGCCAGCGAAGATTCATTTCGCTTCATTATTGATGACCTCTTTTTAAGTGCAATGTTTGCCTACAACCAAGAACTCTGGAGAAGCACAGTGAACCAAAGATTCATTCAAACTGATGTATTTGTTTGCTGTCCCTAGGAAATGCATACTAAGATTTAAAATAAGTACCTAATGTTAAAAAATGGTAATCATGAGATTTAATTATTTATACTTGAAACCAACTTGAAGATGCCTTTGTCTGATAAAAAATACATGACCTCTGGAGGCTTCAGAGACTTAAAACCCAGATTGCATGTCTGAAGAAATGTTTCATGTTCTACTTAAGCACAACAAAACATGCAGTAATAAACCATCATCCTTTTAAATTTTATTTTTAAAAGAAAGCAAACAAACAAAAAACCCAGATGTCTGGTTGTAAGTTGAATACTGTTGATGTCCAGCAGAGATGGATGGCCTTAAGATCAGGCTTTCGTGTGCCAGGATTAGAAGAAATCAGGCCTTCTGAAGTTGCAGTCACCCCTGTTTTGCTGTTGCAGTTGCACCTCCAGCAGCTCAGGATGACTGAAGGACTTCTTGTGCTAAGTCTGGTTCCAGCAGAGGTGAGCAGGCATCTCCACTAAATACAGATTAGCCCTTGGCATTCAGCAATGCACTCAACATTAAGTATTTTTCTTTTCCTCCTGCATGCCCCCAAAATTGTCTTGGAAGGGTCCACTGGAATCAGTAGTTGACATATCACGTGGTGAATGCTTCACACCCCAGTGCTCTGCACACTGTTACTTTGCTACAGTGTAGGTGGTTGAGAGATGGGATAGGGAGCCTTGCTGCTGTGCCTTGTCTTTCTGATACATCTGTACTGCAGCCCTTTAGTGCACGTGAGAGAGTGGCAACAAGTGGTGCAGGAATGGAAAGCTCCATTCAAAACCAGGCCATGTTATCACCATGTATAAATAGAGTATGCATCAGTAGGGCCTTTGTCTACATCTGCCTTTAGAGTGGTGAGGACAGATCAGAATATTAGAGCATTAATTGCCAAAAACACATTGGGCTGCTGCCTACAGTCACCTTTTCCCAAGATGGAAGTATGTTTAAGGCTTTCTGCAGTGCTGTGTGGTCAGTCAGTTCACTGCAGTGCAGCACTGACACTGCTGCAACACAAGCATGCATAAACACTTCACTGGTTTGTATTAAAAAAGAAAAAACAAAACTGTCCTGAGGTCCTGAATACCTCATGCGGTATTTGTTTGGAGCTATGCTTAAATTTGTACAGTGCACGTAGTTAAAACCATTGTTAGTCAAATACTGGTTAAATGCATGTTAAGTTAAAAGCAACAAAAAAGAAATCAAAAAGAATGTGGCCTATTTTATTACTAGTTGACAAGTTTCTGATCTGTTTCCTGTCAATAACTGCCATAGAGCATGTAAATGAAGATATGATACATGAATGGACCTTGGAACATAATAAAAACAGAAATGAGATGAGATACATGGAAGACAAAGTTCTATTAATATGTGCAAGACAGCATTTAAAACTTAATTGTAAGAAAATGCATTAGAACGAATCTGCAACAGCAAGAAAGTATGATGTAGTAAAGCAGGACTTTCTGACTGCAGATGTGATTCTTTGAAAGTGTAAAAATTGCTACCATCTTTTTAATATACACCATGTCTTGCAATACTGTATTTAGAAAAAGCATCAGTCCCTGAGCCAGCAGGTAATAACCTGAAAGATATATATATATCTATACATATATATGTATGTATGTATTTAAAATTATTTTAGCTATAAATTCATAAAAATAGCGTAACTGCAGCAATTGCTATCTCAAAGAGGACAAAGCAAGTCACGAGCTTCCTACTAGAGCTGCTGGCAGGCTCTCAGCACCAGTTCAGCAGGTGAAGTTTACCCTGTATCCTCTAGTTTTCCAGCTGGACACAGAATACATAGCTATTTTGATAGGATTCCTAGAAATATGTCTAATGCTCAGAACATGGAGGATAGCAGTAAGTAATGGAGCAGTGAGGTCTTCTGTGTCTGTGCACACAGAAGAGAGCTTTAACTGTGGTCCAGAGATGAAGAAACAAAATGCAGGACTACCTGTGAGGAAAAACTGGCCAGAAGACAGTCTACTGCTTGTAGCTGTAGCACTGCTTTAATTAAAGAATGGAACTGGGAGAGGGAAAGAGAACAAGACACAGCTACCTTGGGAAAAGGCAAGGGAAAACTGCTGTGCTATGGACAGCATAGGTGTCAAGTGAGTGAAATGAAGGACAATGGGAACGTGCCAGACTGGAGGCCTGCAGCTTTTTACCACTGTGTAAATGTCAAGTCACTGTAAAAGCAAAAGGCACAGAAATTGAAAGTCCTGAAATGTGTGAAGTCCCATCAGTCAATACTACCTGCTTATGCTGCTTTTCTGAAAAATGATCTATGAATTGAAATGCCAGTCTGTGGAAAAGCAGTGTCCTTGGGTCAAAAGCAATCTTTTCTTAGATGCCAAACAACTGAAGTATTAACACATTGGAAAACTCCAGCTTTCCAATGATGTGTTGCTTGTTGGAAACCTGAGAAAGCTGCTCTGTGTGTCTGGTTTCTTCAGGTCCTTTTTTTTTTTTTTTAGTGTGTCCAAGTGTAGCTGGCCCAAGTGCAGATGGCATCTATGGAAGAACGAATGCTTCAGATCTCTGAAATTAGAAACAAAGATACGGAGATATTAGTGGTTCAGGAACTATAGTAAATGACAAATTTACCTTGGGGGGGGATTAAGCTCTATCTTCAAAAGAGTGTGTAGTAGAAATGAGGCCAGCAAATGACTGCTTGTTTTTCTTAGGGCTCTGAGGTAACAGAAGCCCACTGTGAAAAACACTTCTCTTTCAAATCCCATTCAGATGATCATTACATACAGGTATTTTTAGCAGAAGCAATGTGTACAAATTAGCAAACAGATGTAATTATCCAAACTAATAAATTCCTAATCTTACAAATCTGGATTAAAAATCATGAATTCTAGGCACTGCATCTAGCCATTTTGTAAGGAAACTCCATGTGCGTGGTGAGGTGGGAAGATGCAGCTATTGTTTTTTAAGGGTATAAAATTTGGTCTTGTCTTTACCCCAGATTACATAAATTATCTATTTCCCCTTTATCAAGGCATTGCAAATTTATTAAACCATTTTCAGCAGTAGATACAGATCACATTTCTCTATGAGAAGAATGCTCTGGCTGTGCAAAGCAATACAGCTTTGTATGAGCTATCACCAGCCTCTAGGCACAACTGTTTCATGCTGTCATGCTGATTTCAGATGAGTTACATGGAAACTGACATCTCACCTAAAGTATAACTTCTTAACTAGTGATCCATGGTCCTACTCATAATTAGACCATAACATCCTTTGGACTGAGAGTATATGGATTACAGAAGGAGCCCACAAACCCACTGGTGCTTCCGT